GGGCGCCGCCGGCCTTCCCCGCCTCCGCTTGACGGGCGGCCGCTGCGCCCAACCGGCGGCGGGCGGGCTGCCGAGGGGGCGGAGCCGGGGGCGGGGCCCGCGCTGGGTCAAGCGGGTGGTGGGAGGGAGCGGGGCCTCACCGCTTCTCCGCCCCCCCCCCATCCCCCGCGGCGGGTGCGGCGCTGTGGCGTGGCCGGGCTCGGGCCCGCGGCCCCTTCCCGGGCCTGTCCCCGGTCTCCTGGGCCGGCTTAACCGGTACCGAGCGCTTGGGCCTTGTCGTGCTCGCCGGGCCGCGCCACGCCAACCCGCCCCTTTTCCCCTTCCCTTGGCCCGCGCTTCCCCGCCGCTGGCGGCAGCGAATCTCACCCCTTTATTAATTTCCTACACAAATGAGAACAAGGAAAACCACAGCTCCCGGTTCAGCGGGCACGGCAGTCCGGCAGGGCTGGGGAAAGAGGGAGCTGGCGGCACTGCTCACCCTCGCTTCTCCTTGTTCTCCCTCAGCCTCCCTCCTTCCTTCCCATTTTCCCTCCATTTCTCCCCCCTCGTCTTCCCTCAGTCTCATTTTTCCCCTCGCTGTCCGTCATTTTCCCCCTCAATGCCCCCCTGCCTCCTTTTCTCCCCCTCTATATCCCTTATTTCTCCTCGGTTTCTCTCATTTTCTCCCTTGTTCCTCTTCATCTCCTTCATTCTCCCTCATTTTTCCTTTGCTCTCCCTCATTTCCTCCCAACTGCTCTCATTTTTTTTTTTTCCATTTCTCTCATCTTTCCCTCAGTCTCCCTCAATTTTCCCTTAATCTCTCATTTTTTTCTGTTCATCTCGTTTTTCCCTTGGTCTCCCACGTTTTCCGTTCAGTCTCCCTCATTTCCTTTCCATTTCTTTCCCTTTTTCCCCCAGTCTCCCACATTTCTCTCAGTCTCCCTCATTTTACCCTCAGTTTCTTTCCCCCCTTGATCTCCCTGATTTTCCTATCAGTCTCCCACATTTCTCCCTTGGTCTCCCACATTATTCCTCAGTTTATAACTTTTTTTTTTTTTTCTCTGTGTGTCTCCTTTTCCCCCTCAGTCTCCCTCATTTTCTCTCAGGTTCAGTTTCCCCCTTGTTCTCCCTCATTTTCTCTCATTTCCCCTCAGTCTCCCTCACTTTTCCCCTGTTTTATTTCCTCCTCAGTTTCTTTCCCCCCTCAGTCTTCCTCATTTTTCTCCATTTATCTCATTTCCTCCCTCATTTTCTCTCAGGTTGTTTCTCGGTCTCCCTTCTCTTTCCCTCACTCTCCCCCATTTTCTCTCATTTGTCCCTCAGTCCCCCACATTTCCCCTCAGGTTCTCTCGTTTCCCCCTTGGTCTCCCCCATTTTTCCTCAGTTTCTCTCCTTTTGCTCTATGTATCCCATTTTCCCTCCAATCTCACTCATTTTCTCTCAGGTTCAGTTTCCTGTCAGTCTCCCTCAGTTTCTCCCATTTTTCTCTGTTTATCTTATATTCCCCCTCATTCTTCCCCATTTTCTCTCAGGTTTTGTTCCCCCTTTAGTCTCCCTCATTTCCCCCTTGGTATCCCTCATTTCCCCCTCAATTTCTCTTATTCCCCCCTCATTCTCCCCATTTTCTCTCAGGTTTAGTTCCTCCTTTAGTGTCCCTTATTTCCCCATCGGTCTCCCTATATTTTCCCCTCAGTTTCTCTCATTTTGCTCTGTGTATCTCATTTTTTCCCCTTAGTCCCCCTGATTTTCTCTAACATTCAGTTTCCCGTTAGTCTCCCTCATTTTTCCCTCAGCTTCTCTTATTTTGCTCTGTGTATCTCCTTTCCCCCCTTCAATCTCCCTCATTTTCTCTCGGGTTCAATTTTCCCCCTCATTCTCCCCTATTTTCTCTCAGGTTTAGTTACCCCCCTTTCCGTCTCCCCCATTTTCTCTCAGGTTTTGTTCCCCCTTTAGTCTCCCTCATTTTCTCTCGGGTTCAATTTTCCCCCTCATTCTCCCCTATTTTCTCTCAGG